ATCGTAGAAATCGGCCGAAAAAGGGCATATAATTGGCCAAAGGAGTTTCCTGGCCATCGAGGGTCCGATTGGCCTGTCATTTTCTGGTAGAGGCTATAGCTAGTATTACCACATCTCCACTGCCATAGGGCTGAGATTCTAGTCTGTATTACTAACAGTAGGGTTCCGTTCTTCCATTGCAATTTGTTACAGACACTTGTAGTGTTTTATCTTTGTTTATCAATAAATATATCATGTATTCCCAGCAACATTGCTCTGGGGACTGACCCTCGATGATGCCGGGTTGAGTCATCTCACCGTTTCCTGGAGAGTCGAGGGGAGTCTTCCGGTCTCGAGCTACAGGCTCCGCTACCAGCCGGCAGACGGGTCGGGCTCGTACCAGGACCTCTCCCCCGCACCAGGAGCGGACGCCACCTCGGCAACAGTGCAGGGACTGCTGGTCCACACGGAATACACCCTCACGTTGACTTCTTTTGGCGAGGACGACCAGCCAAATGGAGTCATCAACGGGACATACACCACAGGTGAGAAAAAGAAATGACTATAAGACCTCCGTCTGGTACTCTATATTCGAATTCTTCCGAGCTGCCTCGCTGATTTTTGGTGGCATCTTCATGACATGCAAAGCCAACTTGAACATCGCGTGCTCAACTCGGTCCAGGGGTCGAGTCCTGACATGCCACCGATCTTGTGTCCTTGGGAAAGGCACTTTAAGGCTTTCCTCACTTCGCTCAGGTGAAAATGAGTATTGCATTGTCCCCTGTGTTGGTGGCGGCATTAATATAAGTTTGAAAAACTTGAGTGTGGCGTCACCACGTCTTGTGATTACATGTTGGAAATTATAAAAAAAAAACTTGAACATCTTTTTTCTCCTCCCAGTCTGTCAGCGTAAGCTTGGAATGGAATCTGGCGCCATACCTGATGACCGCATCACTGAATCTGAGCTTGATAGCAGTGCATCCGGACGGCCCTACCGTGGACGGTTAAACCGTTTGTCTCATTTTGGTGGCTGGGCACCCAGATACAACGGCATCGGACACTGGCTGCAGGTATTTACAAAACTGTGTTGATAGACTTTTGAAAGATCTTGCTATGCTTATTTGGAATCGGATTGTTTGCTTCACGCAAGGCGATTCCTTTAATCGCAATACTCAAGTTTACCTAACTGTATTCTAAAATGCCTCCATCCTTGTCAGGAGAAGCGAGTATGATATGTGTTAAAATAGAGCAAGTTTGGAGATACATCAGCCACACTTAAAAACGGTGTTAACCTAGTTGTTGCCAGTTGGCATATTTTCTTTACGTCAACAATAGCTGACTTTTTCACATGAAAGGATCAATTTGAGGGATAATGCCTCACTTTTTCATCAGCTAGATCTGCTTTTGTGTACTTCCTCATATCATAACGACTTATAAATAATTTTGCCTATTAGGTAGACTTAGGAGAGTTGATGCACGTCACAGGCACCGTTATTCAGGGTCGCCAACGGAATGAACATTGGGTGACGTCATACAAATTCCGGTACAGTGCCGATGAAATGATCTGGAAGACATATACCGGCAGCGATGGCTCAGATAAGGTATTTTAGATACACAAATGAACCAAAAATATCATTAATTCTACACTAAAAGTCTTACTGACATTTGTTAATATTATGATAGTATAAAGAGGGAAACTGACCAATGTCTCATCTGTCCCATTCCAATCATAGATCTTCTCACAAAGCTCTTGTCTACTGATAACTTTTGCTCGCTTTAGAAGATGTCTGCTGATTACACCCCATGGAAATCTTGAGCTTAGGTCTTAGTCTATGTATTTTGTGGATTAAATGGGTGTTTAATGTCAGTCTGATAACAATTAGGGTCTCACAATTGTCGAAGGCCATGTAAATGAAAAGTCAATTATACAATCATAGTTGAAGGGTCACTTATAGTGGAGAATATCTACAAAACAGTTGAGAACAAAAATTCGGAGATATCGTACCAACTTACCAACATGCTAAATATCATTACAATCCATAAAGGCGTTCTTAAAGTTATGCTGACCACAAAGTTGCGGAAACACAGACTGATACGCCAAAAACAATACCTCCATTTTCATGGAGGTAAATATGCTCCGTTGAAACATCCGTTTACCTTTCAGGTTTTTACTGGTAATATGGACAGGGACACACCTGTGACGAACCTACTGGGCAATCCCGTCTATGCCCGTTATGTGCGCTTCTACCCTCAATCCTGGAATGATAGAATCGCCATGAGAGTGGAGACTCTAGGCTGCTACACTAACAGTAGGTTTTCTTCGTTGGTTCGACTGGTTAGAGTTTGGTTTACTTCCGCAATTGCCATGTTTCTTATCGCTACTAAATGCATCCTACGATTCCAGTGACATTGATATCGGGACTGAGCCTCGATGATGCCGCGTCTGGTCATCTCACAGTTTCCTGGAGAGTCGTAGGGAATCATCCGATCTCGCGCTACAGGCTCCGCTACCAGCCGGCAGACGGGTCGGGCTCGTACCAGGACCTCTCCCCAACACCAGGAGCGGACGCCACCTCGGCAACAGTGCAGGGACTGCTGGCCCACACGGAATATACTCTCACGCTGACTTCTTTTGACGAGGACGACCAGCCAAATGGAGTCATCAACGGAACATTCACCACAGGTGAGAATGGGATATTTCACGGATTTGTGCCATGCACTTCGTATATAATATACGAATCTTCATGGTATTCTATGGGGTACAGTGGTGATGTAAGCAACCCGCCTCAAAGGAACCAAATTGGGGGTATGCATGAAAAGGCTGTGTATGAGGACTTCTTCTAAAGCAGGATTATATAGGGATCCAGGATAGAGTATTATCCTGTAGGAAACTATAACACTCTTGTTTGTCTTGTCTTCTATTTGTTTTTTTATTGGCAGTATGAAGTGTTTGAGCTTAAAATTTGTTACATTGACTGTAAGCACAAATTAGACTTGATGATGAGTATTGGCGATAGAATTGCAGACATTTCCTGAAGCTTGCTTGATTATTGTTACGCTGTGTTGGAGTACTTGTGTACCGGCCAATGTCCAGCTGCTACGTACGTGTATTCTAACAATGTTCAACTACAGGTAAAGCTAGTGTAGGATTAAGACATGAAAATACAAACGGAACTTAATTTTCGTTCCCTTTCAGTCTGCCAGCGTAAGCTTGGGATGGAGTCTGGAGCCATACCTGATGACAGCATCACTGCATGTTCGATATTTAATTCTAATTTCGAGCCATACTACGCAAGGTTAAATGGGTTCTCTTCAGAAGGTGGCTGGATGCCTATATTCAGAGGCATAGGACGGTGGCTGCAAGTAGGTAGAAATTTTGATAGATCAAAATGATCTTGTTTGAATTGGAAAGGGATTATTTTCTGCTAACTTCACGGAAGCCGATTCCTTACATCACAGGAATCAAGTTTGCTCAGTCACATTCAAACCGGTATCAAGTTGAACTTAGTTTTTTATTTAGGCGAAGATGCATGTTTCCTTTCCATCATATAGATCTGGTCTTGTGTACTTCGTTACATTCTAACAAAACTCAAGATAATTTTGCTTTCTAGGTCGACTTAGGAAACATGAAGCACGTCACAGGCACCATTATTCAGGGTCGAAAAAAGGCTGAACAATGGGTGACGTCATACAAACTCCGGTACAGTGTGGATGAAATGATCTGGAAGACATATACCGGCAGTGATGGCTCAGATGAGGTAATTCAGAAATGAACAAAATATAAGTTAAGTACCTAGCTTGAGTTAGCAGCCACTTGGTCCGTGTTCTTTCAGTTGTATTTATCACTGTCTTTCTGAATGAATAAAAATATCATTAATTCTGCCCGGCAAGCATTAAGCTGGCATAGTACATATAGGTTATTGCCACACTGCCCCCTCTCACAAAGCTCTTCTCTTTTGATAACCATTAGAAGGTGCCTGTCTGTCATGCCTATGGACGTCACAAGCTCAGGTTTAGCTCAATCAATAATTATTTATGAAAGATCAAAGGCACGTAGGTTGTTGCCTTTTATAGTAAATAAAAAAATTCTGACGTAAAGAACAGTTGCAAAATGCCATGAATCTAAATTATCTGTTTATGTTTTAGGTTTTTCAAGGCAACACTGACATGATCACTTCTGTGACAAACCTACTGGACAACCCAGTCGATGCCCGTTATGTGCGCTTCTACCCTCAGTCCTGGAATGATATCAACATCGCAATGAGGGCGGAGATTTTAGGCTGCAGCACCAACAGTAGGTTTCTGTTGTTAGTTGCATTAGTTTAAGTCTGTTTTACTTCCAATTTTTTATTTTTTTGCTAAATGCATCCTACATTTCCAGTGACATTGATATCGGGACTGAGCCTCGATGATGCCGCGTCTGGTCATCTCACAGTTTCCTGGAGAGTCGTAGGGAATCATCCGATCTCGCGCTACAGGCTCCGCTACCAGCCGGCAGATGGGTCGAGCTCGTACCAGGAGCTGTGTTCCGCACCAGGACCGGACGCCACCTCGGCAACAGTGCAGGGACTGCTGGCCAACACGGAATACACCCTCACACTGACTTCTTTTGACGAGGACGACCAGCCAAATGGAGCTATTAACGGAACATTCACCGCAGGTGAGTGAGGGAAATACATAACATGGTGCCAAGTACACAAAGGCTTCAGGGATCATTGTAAGGATTAAGTTTTAACTGAAATAAGTCTCATGTTAAAATGTAAAACATTTGGTTCAACACAAAAAAAAATTCACCTAGAGCTTTCGACCAGTCACTCTGGTCTTCCTCAGTAGACTGACCCAGTGAAGCTTGTCACGGGGCTTTTTGAAGTGCGACTGGTCGCAACCTCTAGGTGAGGTGAGAGAATGTTTTTGTTGGACCAAAAGTTTGAACTCTAAACATGTAACTATCAACACAGATGACCTTTCATGATAGTTGAAATAAGTCTCATTTCTTCACAGTCTGTCAAGTTCCGCTTGGAATGGAGTCTGGTGCCATACCTGATGACAGCATCACTGCATCTTCCAACAGAGGCACTGGTTACGAGTCCTACCGTGCACGGTTGAACGGAGTGACTGGCTGGGGCTCCTGGCAGCCGAGTAACAATAACATCGGACAATGGTTGCAGGTAGGTAAAAATTCTGATAGAGGTAAATGTTTCGAATGCCTAGGACACGGTATTGGTGTGCAATAACTTCACAACGAAGTTATTGCACACCTGAGTGGAGTTCGAACGTGGGGCAAGCTAAGTTTGTTATGTACCTCTCCCAAGGACGCAACCTGTAGACAAGAATTCGAGGAATCGAACTCGTGCCCTGTCGATCTCGTGTGTAGTAGCCTAGCCACTTTGTTTTTTTTTAGTTTTTATCTCCGAAATCAGGCGTCAGGTGGTGTAGTGGTTACATCAGTCGACTATAACCCGGGAGACCCTGGTCCGATTCCAACTCGTACCCGGGACATGTCTGAACATGCGCCCGACGTTGTGCCCTTGGGAAAGGCACTTTACACGACATTCCTTACTCCACCCAGGAGTGAATGGGTACTTAACTTCGGTTGGGGAAAGTCGTATTGAGGTCACCTTGTGGCGCCGAATAGCAGCCGCACAGACCCTTGTGACAGTTCAAATATGTGTTATCATGTGTATAATTTGATTGTTGGGATTTGTCTTGATTATTATGTGATACCCTGCATCAATTCAGCCGTATAAAGGCCGCAACTGCACGGGTACTGTTTGGACAATAAACAATTTACATTTATATATTTATATATTTACCCATTCTTTTAGGTGTTTTGTTCATTTATGTATATTTGTATATTTACCCATTGTGTTAGGTGTTTTATTCATATATATATACATGGTTTTAGGTGGATTTAGGAGAGATGAAGCGCGTCATTGGGACCGTTATCCAAGGTCGCCACTGGCGATTCTTTTACTGGGTGACGTCGTACAAACTACAGTACAGTGGAGATGGGGCCAGTTGGACGACATACACTGACAGCGATGGCTCAGAAATGGTATATCAAGAGACCTTCTTTTTTTCAAATTATGAATAATGGATAAATTAACCAAACACCATAAAAAATAGTAAAAAAAAACATTCCTTACAGGACATTTTGTATGGTAGTGTCGTTATGGTCCATACGTTTCAATCTGTATACACTTTATACTATGTGAATTCGAGGGGATTCATTCCTCAGCTAACCGACATCTTGCACACGCAGTCGTCCCTCAGTAAGACATCTGGAGCCGCATATTTCCCGTTTAGAACTTTTTTCATTCAGCCTGTCATACGATCGGTTTCGCCTGTGTGGCTTCTTCAAGTGTACAGAGGCTAATGACACAAGTAACATGAAGTTATCACTTACACACCTTTCCAGTGCATAATGCCCTGATCAGTTACATGAGTTCGTAGTGCTCTGATCTAGACAGTACATGTAGTTCGAGGTGCTCTGACCTTAGTTGACCTGATGTGCAAGATGTCGGCTAGCTGAGGAATGAATACCCTCGAATTCACATTATATACACTTTATACTGTTTGTCTCAGACGGGGTATATGGAGACCTTAGGTTAATTTGTAGGTATGAACATCTTGGGATAAATTAAGTACAAAAATTTTCTTTTAACTTCGTTTACCTTTTAGGTTTTTACAGGCAACACGGACGTGACCACACCTGTAACGAATCTACTGGACAGCCCAGTTGAAGCCCGTTATGTGCGCTTCTACCCTCAGTCCTGGGAAACGGCTATGGCCATGAGGGTGGAGATTCTTGGCTGCAAATTAAACAGTAGGTTTCCGTTCACTGCACGAAAAGTCGGATTTACCATAGAGGTAAATTTGATGTAAAGCCCGGTAAAGGTTACATTTACCGGAGATTTACCCATCGGTAAATGTGCAACTATACCACAGGTATACCAGCATGGTAAAGCGGGTAATGTTTATCCTCTTTACCCACATTTACCAGGTTCGGGTAAAGGTACATTTAGCGAGATTTACCGTACGCGGTATTTCTGACGTATAATGGCATTTAGCGAGATTTACCATACGGGTATTCCTCAGGTGCGTTTACGACATTTACCGAGATTTACCAGGTGGAGTATTTCTGACATTTAGTCGAATTTACCCATATTTACGCTAGATTTACCAGATTTGCCATGCCTTTACCAGAATGATTTTGCACTATACCCCCCCCCCCACATGTAACTTTATAGTCTGGCAATCACGTTGTGTAACCCCATTCATTACAAGCACAAGAACTTGGTTTTGGGGAGAATTCAAATATATTTATTGGATAAACATTGAGAGACATTGGCAGTAACATTTTCTAAAAGGTACATGTATGCTGCATTGTAAATACTTTAGTTATAGTTTTACCACATACCTTTTCTTACAAACATGAAAATAATTACAGCATTTACATGTATCATGAAAGACATTTAACAAGCAGAATATCTGTAGGCACAATCTAAATATATCAGCACCCCTGAAAAAGGCTTTAAAGAGAGGCGCGCCCCTGAATAAAGCCTTTAACAGGGGCGCGCCCCTGAATAAAGCCTTAAACAGGGGCGCGCCCCTGAATAAAGCCTTAAACAGGGGCGCGCCCCTGAATAAAGCCTTAAACAGGGGCGCGCCCCTGAATAAAGCCTTAAACAGGGGCGCGCCCCTGAATAAAGCCTTAAACAGGGGCGCGCC